CCCCCCCCCGCCACATCCCCCCCCTCGAGTAGTGGTGAACTGCCTGGCTGGTAGACACACTCAGGCAGCGGGAGCACATCTACCAGCCAGGCAGTTTGCAGCTAAGGACTGATACACCTAATTATAATAAAACTTACCAAATTAGAAAATACCAGACATTTTATATGTCTGGTAATTTCTCAATTCGTGTTCTGAACAAAACCCTCCAATACCAGACTACCCAGCTCATTTGAGTGAGAGCCAGCTGCTGAGTATACCAAGGGACAACTGGGACTGCCAGATGCCAAATATCCTGAGCACATTGATAACTCATAAACAACGGAACCCCACATATAAGAAAACCAAACAGTCTGGCCGTGTTGCTTAAACCCTGGTTAGTATGAAGTGGCAGGATCACTGTTGACCCAGTAAAGCCCTGGGTTGGGACCCAGAGGAGTGGGGTGGGGTTGGATCCTCCTACTCCTTGCTGCCAAGCCCACCTTTGGGTTGGCAGCCTATCAGCTTAAGACAGCTGGCCAGCATTTGTCTGCTGTCTGCCCAACCAGAGGTTTTGAGCGTGACTATGTGTGCCCCAACTGGAGAGCTGGGCTGAAGACTCATAGACTCATAGACTTTAAGGTCAGAAGGGACCATTATGATCATCTAGTCTGACCCCCTGCACAGTGCAGGCCACAAAATCTCACCCACCCCTCCTAGAATAATCCTCTCACCTATATCTCAGATATTGAAGCCTTCAAATACTTTGAAGACCCCAAGATGCAGAGAATCCTCTAGCTGTGATCTGTACCCCATGCTACAGAGGAAGGTGAAAAACCTCCATGGCCTCTGCCAATCTACCCTGGAGTAAAATTCCTTCCCGACCCCAAATATGGCGATCAACTAAATCCTGAGCATGTGGGCAAGACTCATCAGCCAGACACCCAGAAAGTTCTCTATAGTAATTTCTATCATCCCTCCAATCTCTTCAGCCTCTCCTCATATGGGACCCGTTCCAAACCCCTAATCATTTTAGTTGCTCTTTTCTGAACCTTTTCTAATGCCAAAATATGTTTTTGAGGTAAGGAGACCGCATCTGTACGCAGTATTCAAGATGTGGCCGTACTGTAGTTTCATATAGGGGCAGTAAGATATTCGTCTTATTTTCTATCCCTTTTTAAATAATTCCTAGCATCCTATTTGCTTTTTTAACTGCTGCTGCACGCTGCATGGACGTTTTCAGAGAACTGTCCACAATAACTCCAAGATCTCTTTCCTGATTAGTTGTAGCTAAATTAGCCCCCATTATATTGTATGCATAATTGGGGTTATTTTTTCTAATGTGCATTAATTTCTCTTATCCACATTAAATTTCATTTGCTATTTTGTTTCCTAATCACTCAGTTTGGTGAGATCTTTTTGAAATTCTTCACAGTCTCCTTTGGTCTTGTCCCATTCTATCTCTCTACTAACATCCTAGATGATACCTTCAAAGTCTAAACTATAAAAAATTACAAAATACACGGTGGCCCTAACTCCCCAGTTCCATGAGTGAACATACTAGAAGATTGGAAGAGTGTAAAATCCATTGTCTGCTCTCCCAAAAGAGCCTCTGCTCATATCCACACTGGGGAATAAAAATGAAATAACAGGATTTCCAGTCCACATAGAAAGGATTGTTTGGGCCCAGTGGGTTTTCCTCATTGTCGTGGGACAGTATTGTTTCTGGACCACGTCTGGGCTATGTCCAAGGAACGTGTCCTCTTTTCCAAAAAAAATGTCGGAAAAACGAACGCATTTTGTTGGTGCTAAACAATACCCAAAAGAAAACAAATAGAAAATGAGCAAATAGCAAATGCATAAGCACAGAGGGAAATAAAGTTATTGTAATTAAAGTGTCTCATTTAACACAGGAGGATTTGAATGGAAGGTATTGAGGCCTACCCAGAATATGTCAAATGAGCACCAGTTTAATTGTAGATGTAAAGGAAAGGCAGCAATGTGAGATACAGGAGAGCAATCAAATTTTGTTTTTATTTTTGATGACCAACAATAACCCCGCTTTTAGAGAAGCAAGTAACTCAGACAGCAGTATGCAACAAAGTGCTGATTACCCCAAATGGAGCAGACGAAAGTTTTTGTAAGGGCAGAATAAGACAACAAAAATCTAACGTCAGCAATTGTCAGGCGAGTGGAGGAGGACCAAAAACTTCTTTATTCATTTTCTCTACATCAGTCATGATTTTATAGACCTCTGTCATATATTATATCATATAGTTCTCTCTTTTCCAAGCTGAAAAGTCCCATTGATCTTTCCTCATATGGTAGCTGTTCCATACACTTTATCATTTTTCTTGCCTTTTTCTGAACCTTTTCTAATTCTAATATATCATTTTTGAGATGCAGCAACCACATCTGCACTCAGTATTCAAGATGTGGGCATGCCATGGATTTATATAGACGCAATACCATTTATCTTATTCTCTAGCCCTTTCATAATGCTTCCCAATTGGCTGGTCAGTTGATCAGGCCAGCAGCGCTTTGAAGTATGTGGGAAGGCACACACACAGTGGTACATGTGTTGCGAAGATCTCCTAGAGCGAACTGTGGGATGGGTATTTATCCCCAAATCTGCACATCGCTTTCCCGTGCTTGCATATTACCATATATGGCCCAATGGTCACCAAGTGGGGGGGTCTGTGTCCCAGGGGTTGGGCCGAAACTGTGCAGGTTTCATGCGACCAGGTAAGCCCTGCAGTTCTCATGCCAAGGTGATGGGTGGGAGAGTCTGAGGCTATTTTCCCCTTTTCACACCTTCCCTTTTTCTAAAGGCAGTGGTATGCAGGAAGGGTGCGGCCAGTCTCTCCCAAGGAGTACTGCAGCCCACTATAGCAAGAGCAGCCTGGCCAAACTTTTTTACTATTTGCTTTGTGAAGAAGAACTTTCTTTTATTAGTTTGAAGCTTGCTACCCATTTGGTGTCCTCTAATCCTTATAGTATGGGAACTAATGAAGAACTTTTCTTTATGCACCTTCTCCACACCACTTATGATTTTATAGACCTCTATCATATCCCCCCTCAGCCTCCTCTTTTCTAAGCTGAAACGTCCCAGTCTCTTTAGCCTCTCTTCATATGGGACCTGTTCCAAACCCCTGATCATTTTAGTTGCCCTTTTTGGAACCCTTTCCAAGGCCAAAACATCTTTTCTGGGGTGAGGAGATCACATCTGTACACAGTACTGAAGATATGGCGTACCATAGTTTGATACTTCCCCTCCTCCTTCTTCCTCTGGCTTCCCCCTTCCAGCCCCCTCCTCCCAGGTTTCCCCCTCCCCTCTCCCACCCTCTCTCTTCCCCTCTCCCACCTCCTTTTCCCAGTCTCCCCAGAGGCTAATCCCCCTCCCCCCAGTTTTGTTAAATAAAGAGAGGGAGTTTTTTGAACACACGTGTCCTTTATTTTGTACATCAGGAAGGGGGGCTAGAGAGGGGTAAGTGGAAGGAAGTGAGGGAGGAATGGGGTACGAGCCCCCGATGGGGAGGACTGCGGTGGCTCTGCGGGCTCCTCGGGGGGGAAGCTCTCCTGAAGCCCCCTGATTGCACCCCCAAGTCGGGGGGCTGCGGCAAATGCAGCCGGGCTGATGGCCGAGTGCTGTGATGTGCCAAGTGTGGGCACTCAGGGCACTCCAAGTCAGGACTGCTTTGCTGTCCCTCATCGAGGTAGACAAGCAAGTGGGGAACCCTGAGAACTGTCTGTCCAGGGTGGGGGTCGGATCCCTTTAAGCACAGTCCTCAGCTAGCCTGAGACAGCAGCTCCGCGCTCTAAGTCCTAACCTGATGCCCTGCCGGCACTGCTTCCGGCCAGCCTTAACCTCAGTTCAGGGTCCACTCAATGTGGACATGCTAGTTCGAATTAGCAAAATGCTAATTCAAACTAGTTTTTAGGTCTAGATGCACTAGTTCGAATTAGCTTAGTTCGAATTAACTAATTCGAATTAAGTTAGTTCGAATTAGTTCTGTAGTGTAGATGTACCCTGGTATAGGTTTGCAAGAGAGGCTGTGGAATTCCCATCCCTGGTGCTTTTTAAGAACAATTTGGACAATACCCTGTCAGGGATGGTCTTGACTTGATAATGTCTCAAAGTCCCTTCCAGCCCTGCATCTCTGATTCTATGATTTAAATCACAGGTCTGGGTCAGAATACAGTAATTTCACTGAAAGTCTCTTCATAGAGAGGGGAAAAAAGAGATGGGATTGCAACCAATTCCACACTGTTTTTTAAATGAAGGTGTTTGCAAGTGATAATATTTATCTTTTATCTAATCTGGAAATCAATCAATAGCCAGTGCAGAGAATGTGGTCACTGGAGCAATGTGCTTTCTGGATGAGACCACATGTGAATTCACACCTGGTTATAATTTTCAAATGGCCTGATGGTCCAGTCCTTTGCAGATCATGCTGCAGAAATCCAACCTTGAGATGACAAAAGCATAGAGAACTGCCCATGTATCTCCTCCAAAACGAGAGGACGTGGCTCCTTGTCAAATTCAGGTGATAAGAAGGCCATTTGGCAGCCACTATCACCTGAAAATCTATAACAGCTAGGGATTCTCAGAGTACAAGCCATGGGTAGAAAAAAAGAGGGACGTAGGCCATTTATAAAGGATGCTGATCTACAGGTTTAACCTCTCTAGTCCAGCACTCTCAGGACCAGCAACATCCGTGGTGTGGTATGATTTCAGTTAGCTGGATGTCCACTTTTCATGGGTGTGGCCAAGTTTCCTGTGGTCCCATAAAGTTTGTTTACAGCCACAAGTCCTGGCTCACAGGGTTCCGTATTGTTATTTAGCTCTAATTTACCCTTACATGTCTTACAGCCCAGCAGTGGAAGTGTTGGTAATGCTGCTAAACAATATTGACTTCTTTTGGTTCAGCACCAGTCAAAAGGGTGCTGAGTAGAGAGGTTCTATCTGCAGTATTTTTGTTTCTTCCATCCTGCAGATATTGTCTCTGCCATCTCTGGGTTGAACCTCACTGGGTAGCTGTTATCTAGGCCTCCATTTCCTTTGACTCAGGGCAAGAGGTTCCACTGTATCTTCAAGGTTAGAAGAGATGGATAAAGCTGGATAGTGAAGACTCACAAGCTGTACCTACTCCCTCAACAGCCCCACATATCCATTTAGCAAGAAGGGGGCTGAGCAAAACCCTGAGGCGATGCTGATAACTAGTGTTTCATTCAAACGATTAACCCTAAATGAAGAAACAACATGGAAGGCAGCAGTGATGGCAACTAAGATAAAAAAATCTGAGCTGCTAATGAATTGCTTTGTCTCTAACACTAGAGTGATTGGTAAGGTTTTCCTAAAGTTCACATGAGCAATGGGACATGAACTAACATTCTTGCCCATACAAAGGGGCACAGTAATATCTTAGTACCACCACAACGCTCCGTACTCAGAGCTCATATGGATAGGACAGAGAGACCAAAGATCAGAAAGACCCCGGGGTCTGATCCAGCTCTCATTAAAGCCAATCACAAAATTCTCATTGAGTTCTTTGGGACAGTATCCAGCCCATGGGTGAGTGACTGCAAAATAATCCTGGGATAACAATACTCCTGTCATAGCAAACATCTGGGGTGCTGTTAATTCACTTTTAGTAATGGCTTCCTATTACTCCTAGTTACCTCCACCCCCAGGCCTCCTCTGAGCAATTTGTCTCCCTCCTGTGCATTTATGCTTATCACATATTAGAGGAGAATGGTTATGTTTTGCAAAACATTCATTAATTCTGGTTGTGTTGATTCTGTTGAATAGAGTCCAAAAAATTAAAACTGGAAACCCACTTTTGTAAAGAAAGAAAATAACCCCATTGAGGAAGGATTCCCAGGATTCCTGTTGCAGGAAGCATTGTGGAAAATTACACCTAAACAAAAAAAAAAGAGAGAGAGAAATATAATTGTTCATTCTTCATTTGCTGGCCTTAATGAGAGCAAGCAAAGTGTTTCTATTTTGACAGCTTTCATCTGTGGCTGAAAAGGATGACTTTGGAGATTCCAACCCAAGATAAGGGGTTGGTTGTTTGTGTCATCTGCCTGTAATGCATCTGCTGCACCACAAGGCCAGATATATCTGTTCTGCAGAACCTGCCAGAATTCCAGCCAGGCCCCAGCTCAATTACATGAGCCATAATGACCATTGCCCACCAATGATGATCAGGGTTTTTTGTTTTTTAATTACGACTTCCCTCTAGTGTCCCTAGGCAGCAGGGCTGTGAGAGCTCTCCTAGTGAGACACTTTTAATTTAAGGCTAACCATTCAGACAAAGGAACTGGGCTTTGAATGTCAATATTGTTAACTATTTCTTTGCCAAACATTTCAGCAGAAACATCAGGTATCCTGGGACTGTGGGGCGAGGGGAAGTGGAGGGCTGGGACTCTGAACCCTTGCTTCTTGCCCAACTTATGTGGGGCTCCCGAGTGCAACATGGATGTGGTTTTCTTTCCACCAGTTGACAATGGAAGGTGGAATTCTTTCTTTGCATCATCTGTCTTAATCAGCTTCTAATTTTTAAATACTTTGATAGCCAGTTGCTTTAAATACCATCCTTTAAGATATGCAATGAACCTCTTCCAGCTGAGAGAGGCTTATCATGATTCCTATTGCCCTGCCCTTCTAACTCACTGGATGGAGTTTTTATAGATCCTTAGATTTTTTTTTAAGGCCTGGAGGGGCAAGAAACTGATAGTGCTGGGGAGTGATAGAGGAGCTCTGGGTGTCTTAGGGATCGAGGTACAAGAGCTCTGCTGTGATTTTAGTACCTGGGTTTACTGAGTTTTCCTTGGCCATATGCCTGGGCAACTGTGGGTGGAGTGAACCCTCCTGATGCCAATTTCCGATCTGAAAGCCCCTGCAACATAAGTCCATGGATTCACTTGGCAGAAATGCAACAGCTGTCACCAGCGAGGCTTTCCCCTCCAGGGTGAGTTTTTATAACAGGTGAAAGTATGTAATGTCATCAGAAAGGAAACAGATCTCCCTGGCTTAGGATTCAACCCAATCCCCTGACCACAGATGTGCAGCTCAACCTGCCCCACGGCACCCACCCAGCCACTCCCCTATTACCCACGTAAAGGGTAGGGGAAAAGTAGCTAGCCCTTCGTTCATCAGGGACTAGTCTGTGTCAGCACTCCCCAGCACATCTGTTTGGGAATCTGCTGTGTGGACTCTTCTCCAAGTTTGTTGCCATCAGTGCCCTGCAGAGCTAGCTTGAGCCAAATTTTCCCACTGTCGTCCTTAAATATGGTGAAGTTAGAGATTGGGGGTTAAGCATTATAACCCCTCAGACATTTCTAATGCACTTCCTCCCCATGGGATATACTGTCACAATAGCTCAGGCATGTTGCTTGGGCCTGGGCATCCCACTATAAGCTATGAGATCTAAAGGAGGCAGGCAGTTGTCTAGATACTACTTGCTATAATCAAGTTATTGTAGCTATAATCAAATCAGCAGACCCTTGTGTGGTACAAAATTTGTATCTACATCCGCATTCATATCCACAAAAAGGAGCCATGGATAGCTGCATTCACATCCGCAGATGTAGGTACCCGCAGGTATTGGCAAATTTGCAGGGTTCTAGATACAAAATTTGTATCTATATCCGCATGTGCAATAATGAGCTATAGATATCTGCATCTACATCTCTGGATGCAGATACCCATGGACTTGAAGTGGATATCTGAAGATTTGCAGGGCTCTACAAATCTGTGCAGTTGTCACAGATACAAAATATGTCTGTGCAGAGAAAACCATACTCTCCCAATTTTCAGGGTCATGTAAAGTCCAGAAAATCTGTGGATATTCGATTTATATCCACAGGTATCCTCATCTGCAGACATGGATGTGGATATCAGTGGCTCATCTTTGCAGATGCAGATACAAATTTTGTGCCCATGCAGGGCTCCTGGTCATGAAAAAATGCTGCCATTTGATCACACAGTGGCAACTCTTTCTGAATCAAAGATTACAAAATAAAGTCCACTACAAAACATGAAAGAGTGGGATTTTTGAAAGCACTCACCTCTGGCCTTTCTCTGCTCCTATGGAAGTCAAAGGATGAAACGTTACAGTAATAAACTTACTGTATCTTTCATGTCAGACTGGACCATGGCTAATGGGTTCTCTGTAGCTCTGCTTCATGTTCTTGTTTCTGACTGACATGAAGTTCTGGGCAGAGTAGATTCGTGACCCCCTCTGGAGAAGATTGTTTCATTCCTTCTGTTAGACAAGATGATATTTTATAGAATTGTAGGCATGAGGACTGGAAAAGCTCCATTAAATTGTACCTGGGCTTGTTAGGGATTAGCACTGGCAACTCCGGGCTGGGCAGTTCATATCCCTGGCACCTTTGGGCTTGTCTCATCAGTTATGAATGTAAAATAATTGCTTGAGCCCCGGCACTCTTCCATTATAAATGAAGTATAGAGTCCAACCTCAGTCTATGCAGAATTACTCTCTGTGGAACATACTCTTACATCTCGTCCACTCTTGTTTGACAGTCAGAAGAAACAGAACTTTCCCCAATGCTTTAGGGAACCCATTCCATAGCTTAATACACTGCATCTCAGGCCTGGGACACTTTCCTGATTTTTTTTTTTTTTTTGGTAGCCTGAATTTTTCCTTGTAGTTTGATAAAGCCAACCGTTTCACAGCGGTATATGTGCACATAGGGCTTGTTGTTGTTGTTGTTCTCTATAATTGGATCAGAGTCTCTGTACAGATCAGAGTCAGATTAATGTGAAATATTTTAAAATAGCTTTTGTGGTTGCACCAGGAGAGAGGGAGTTTTAACCAGAATGAACATGTGATAGGGCCACCGCGTTGGAGAGAGACCTGATAACAAAATCCCCTTGCCTCATTGCTAACAATCTCCATGCAAACAGGAAAATAAATGTCCAAACAACTGCTAAACAGGTCAAGAGGTGTGAGTGGCTGTTGTGGCCCAAAGAGAATAAACCCAATAAGCAGAAAAGAGAATATGAGCAAATAAAAAATCAGAAGAAAAAGAACTGCATTGAAATATGAATTTAAGTTGTTTATATTCATAAGGAGACTGCTAAGATTGTGATATCCTTGGTAATTTACATGAGGTATATGACTCTTGAGATACTGGACTTGATATACTTACATTTGTACAGTCCCACTGAATTTATCCCTTTGATGTAAATAGACCATGCTTTTTCTTGTGTCAGCACTGAAGACTAGGCTGGAGGTTTAACATGGAGCAACGGCCTTGTACCTATTAAGAATATGAGCCCCTGTGAAGCAGCATCTGTCTCCCTTAATCCGACACCACAGGCTGTTGTATGTGCTCTTGGGAGGCGCTGAAATTGGCAGTAACCTTGAATGAGAGATGAAACTCAAACTGCAGAATTGAAGAAGCCTGCGACCCCTTTACACAATTTCACAATCTCCTCATTAGCAAAAGCAGCCAATTCTGTTCCTCCTTGGAATTGTGTACAAGCCCTCAAACTGCCATCCCTAGCAAGGAGAAAGACAAGCAAAGACTGCCTAATCTCTCTGGGTATGTCTACACTTGCCTCCTACTTCGAAGTAGGGAGGCAAATGAAGCATACCGAAGTTGCAAATCAAGCCTGGGATTTAAATATCCCGCGCTTGATTTGCATGTTCCCGGCTGGTCTCCATTTTAGAAATTCACTATCCTGGAGTAACTGCCCGCGTCTACACACGGCAGTGAAATGGGAGTCCGATTTAAAGCCCCTAATTCGAATTAGCTGGTAAAACTCATTGCAGGAGGAATACCAGCTAATTTGAGTTAGGGCTTTAAATTGGACTCCCATTTCACTGCTGCGTGTAGACGCAGGCAGTTGCTCCGGGCTAGTGAATTTCTAAAATGGCAACCGGCCGGGAACATGCAAATCAAGCACGGGATATTTAACTCCCGGGCTTGATTTGCAACTTCAGTATGTTTCATTTGCCTCTCTACTTCGAAGTAGGGGGCAAGTGTAGACGTACCCTCTGGGAGTAAAGGATGCATGAAATGTAATGAGTAAGGGTATGTATAGACCGTATCCCTTTGCCGGCAGAGGGGTGCAATCTAGACATATCCTAAGTGTGGCCACTACTAGCCAGCACTATCTGGTATGAAAAACTTGGTTGCTATAATGGGGATACTGAGGGAGGAGGAGTAGACTGGCTGGATTGCCATGATTAGGCCGGCTAAACAGCAGTATAGTTTCTGTGCAATCTACTTGTAATTCAGTGCATCTGCACAGTGAGAATCCCATTCCCTTAGGCATCTGGGGGCAAGAATCTTCTCTGTCCAACCCTTCCTATTATTTCTAATATTGGACACTTGCAACCCCCATATTTCTCTTGTGTTAAAGCCAGATCCTCTGCAGTCCATGGGCTAACCCTTAGCTCTGAGGGGATTAGGGCCAAACTAGTGCTGTAAATAGAGCTTAGCAAAGAAAAGATTTTTTCCAAGAATTCTTTTCTATCCAGACTGTATGTTATTCACTGTTAATGTGTGGAACACTATGGGGTAACTAGGGGAGGGGGAGAATTTACAAACCAAAGAAACTAGTTTGCTGCCTGATCTGGTGACATCTCATTTAAAATACTTATTTTTACCTTTCTATCAAGAGTGCCATTTATAGGGGGGCTAAAGGGGAGTAGATCCCCCTGAAGTTGGAACCCCTGGATTTCATACTTAAGGTCTGCTTAAAGCCCATGCCCCATCTCCAGAGGCAGTTCTTAAATGCAACAGAGTTTGAGCTGCTTACAACTTTTCCAAGCTGGATATGTTAGATGTCTAGAAAATCATAAATGGTATGGAAAAACAGAATAAGGAAATGTTATTCATTCCTTCACTAACATAACAAAAGAAGCTGACCCAAATGAATTTATAGGCAGCAGATTTAAAAATAAATAAATAAATTGTTCACAGTTAACTTGTGGAACACTTTTCCAGGAGTTGGTGGAAAGGCTCAAACCATAACAAAGTTCCAATAATCAGGGCCAATCCAAGTGGAGGGAGGGCAGGGGCAAGAGGGCCATTTGGCCTGTGCCTCAAGCTCAAAGGGGGACTCAAATTTAGACACTTGTTATATTTTTGGCTAGAGTTTTCCTCAAGAACGAGTGTATTTGCATAGAAAAAGGCCAGAAAAGCATTTGTTAAATTAAAAAAAAATCAAATATATCTCACTCTTTTTTGGTGCCGTTTTTGGTTTTCACGTGTCGTCCTTTTTTATTTTTATTGTGGCTAGGGGGCCTCAAAAGCTGGAGGTGGCTTGGGCCTTTTCTGGACCTCTGAGAGGGCCTGCCAATAAGAACAAAATAAGTTCAAGGAGGATAGGTCCATCAATGGTAGCTAGTCCAAAATGGGCACAGATGGTGTCCCTAGCCTCTGTTTGCTAAAAGCTGGGGATGGGTGACAGAGGATGGATCATTTGATAAATGCCTCTTCTGGTCATGCCTTCTGAAGTACCTGGTATTGACCACTGTCAGAAGACTGGATAGATGGACCATTGGTCTGACCCAGTAAGGCTATTTAGATGTTCTTATATAGAGCTGAAATGAATCTTCCCTACTTGGGGTGTGTCTAGACTACCTAGTTTTGTCGACAAAAGTGGACTTTTGTCGACAAAACAATACCAGCGTCTACACTACCGCGGAGTTCTGTCGACATAACGTCGACAGAACTCCGCGGTTTTGTCGACGCTGGTATACCTCATTTTACGAGGCATAACACTTTCTGTCGACAGAACTCTGTCGACAGAAGGTGTTATTGCCTGGACCACTGCGTCCAGACTACGGAGTTTTGTCGACAAAGCGGCTTGCTTTGTCGACAGAACTCCATGTGTCTGGACGCAAATTGTCGACGGAAGTTTTGTCGACAGTATCTGTCGACAAAACTTCCGTCGACAAAACGCGGTAGTCTAGACGTACCCTTGCTGTAACCCACTCCCCCCCACTCCCCTTCCAGAGCTGAGCTAGAGCCCAGGAGTCCTGATGGGGTCTCTCTCCTGACACAGATAGTAACAAAGTAAGGATATACTTAAAGTAAGGATATAGTTAAATAATGGAATTGCCTTGGGAAGTTATGGAATCTCCATCTCTGGAGGGCTGCATCCCTCTCTCCTTTAAGGATCGGCCACATGCAGCTTCTGAATCCCTGGGCCTCTGGGGCCATGTGTACTCCCTGCAAGGGGCCGTGTGCACTGTTGTTTACTCCAGCTGTTTACTTCAGAGTTTTCCCACCTCTTGTGTTCACCTCAGACACTCTTCTGCACTCACTCAGGGAAGAGCTAGGGGGTTAACAGATAACACTTTAACAGTTTAGGGAGCCAAATAACATCGTTAACAGGTGAGAAAGAGAACAACATTCATTTTAACTCTTTCTTTCTTCCTCCTTCGCCTCCAACAGACTCAGCCTCTCGAGGTCCCTTCCAGTTCTAGTGTTCTATGATAAGTGCTGTGTAGACAGAGCCAAATTTCGAAATAAGCTATTTTGAAATTGACTCAAAATAAGCTAAGCAATTTGCATAGCTCAAATTGTTTCAAGCTACGGGTGCAGTGTAGACACACCAGTGGAGAGAGGCTCATTCAACTTGTATACCATGGAGCCGGAAGGTTCCATGACAGTTGGGAATGGCAGTTGGAATGGCAGTTCTGGGAGCCCAGCAAACATGGGCAGAGATAAACTCAGTTGTCTACAACTGCCTGGCTATATGAAATCCAAACACTACCTCAGAAAACAACCAGCTTGTTCAGTGGTGGCTCCCTATTACAATGGTCAAAATATTGTGAAAGAACTCCTTTAAAAAAACAGTTATGGGACACTTTTCACATTTCCTGGGATAATCTCCATATTGCTGTTTGAGAAGCAAATCTTTTATCAAATTTGACATGTGTAAATGTTGATATTGAAAAGCAATTATTTAGCAGGTATAATTTAATATAAACATTTTATTTCCTAAAGAAAATGAAAGTTTAACTTGAGGTCTCCATTAATTGTACATCCATAATCATGTAGTTTAAGACTTAAAAAAAAACCCACCAGGAAATTCAGAATAAAACGACTATTATGCAACATTGAAAGTTGCTCAGCTACAAAATGCCAACTCAAACATTCAAAAACTAGGAAATCCAGTTATGTCAATCAAACAATCAATCAATTAACAGCCATTTACAAAAAGCAGAGTCTTCATCCAGCCCTATTCAATAGATGTGTCAGCAAAAGAGAAAGAAGCATGCCACCAGAACAATAATTCAACATTAAACTTTGAATTTGCATTATTCTATAAATAATACAACTTAATTTACCTTAGTCTAGACATTTAAAAAGTGAATTTTATTTGAAAATAATACTATTTCTAAATTTAAAATGTAATTTCTCTAGCATGCTAGGGTTTATCTGTACCTGGAGAAAATAAATAGCTACATAATATAAAAAATACAGTTGATATTTTGCCTCTATTTATATATCTGACAGAATTGATCTCATAATATATGGCAGCATGTAGTGAAAAAAACTTAGATAATTTAATTGCATTGTGAGAAAGTTAAGATTGCTAATCTAAATACAATACTGTCAACACATCTGTTAAAAAGCAGGGAAATCAACATTTAAGGTATCAGCAAATGACATCTAAACAGAATCCTCCATCATAATCCATTATGCTCACAGCACACATTCCCAGTAATGCAAGTATAGCTCTGCAACTCAGGTACAACCAGAATTTTTAACTTTCACTCTGATCACTGGAGGCCTATATGAAACTAAAATGTGAATACAATGCTCTCTTTTAAAAATAAATTATGTGTGCATTGTAAGCACATGTGATATGCTGTACATTTTGATAGATTAATCTTCTCCATACTGCTTGCAAAGTACCCAGATTTCTGTTTGCCTGCAGAAGGAGGATAATCTATTTCCTCAGTTGGCTCATTCTCCAGTCATGAGTTGAGATTACAGGTTGAACCTCTCTAATCTGGCATTCTTTTGTCTGGCAACATCCATGGTTCAGCATGATTTTAGTTGGCTGGATGTCCACTTATCATAGGTGAGGCCATGTTTCCCACAGATTTATAAAGTTTGATTTCAGCCACCAGTTCCAGCTCTCAGTGTTCTGTGCTGTTATTTAGCTCTAATTTAACCCTAAATGTTTTCTAACCTCCCAGGAAGCAGGGGAAGTGTTGGTAACGCTGCTAAAAAATATTGACCTCCCATGGACCAGCAAATTCTTTGGTTTGGCACCAGTCAGGTCCCAAAGGTGCCAGACTAGAGAGGTTCAACCTATCGTAGATTTTCTTAAAAGCACAGCGTGGAAAACATTAAAGTGAATTGTAAATTAATGTTTCTACATAGGAATTACCATATTGCTGCAAATCACTGCTCTACCTAGGCCAGTGGCCTGTCTCAGACAATGGCCTAGACCGGATGTTTATTACTCTATTTGTACTGATAGTTCCTTTTTTCACTTCCTGATAAGACCAATTATATATCATGTGACAATAAGTCCCACAGGTTATTTGTGCATCATTCTATCAACAAGTATCTCATGCCTTTGTGACCCATCTCTGAACTCCCTTTTTATCTTTTTTTGAGATAGGATGAGCAGAACTAAAAACAGTTTTCCAGGCAAGGCATACAATCAATTTATATAATCTGAGTTTCTTGAAAGCACTTTCCTAAATTCCTTGTGCCAGATATAAAACAATGCTGGGGGCTGTATCAGCACAGCCTGTTGTGGATGGAAGGATAGATGAGAACTCGCAAAGCAGTTTTTGTATTCCGAGGCATTTGGGGATTAGAATTACTTAAGGATGGGTCACTTTAATACCAGTGGGGAGCCATAATCAAGCTCCATTGTGGGGCCAGAGTTAGATGAATGCATTGGCCCAGTGAAATTTTGAAATAATTTACTCAAGGTGCCTGAAGCTTATGGAATTCAAAGATGGGATTCAGGACCTGGAGGGCTATCTTGCTATGTGCTGCTGTGTTAGGAAGGTAGTGATTAATTAACAAATCCATTAGAGAATTATCCTGCCCACAAAAGGGGTGTTTAGCAGACAGAGGGCCTTGGGTACATGCAGAAAGAATCAGAAGAGACAGACAAACACAAATATTATAGAAAGTGCTTATTTCTCTTTTATTACTGCAGGTTGCTATGATAAAACGTCTGTACCCACCAACTGCCTGCCCACATGGGGAGAAGGATTGGGAAGGGGCCTTGAACTGCAGACAGCCTTCCACTTTTAATTCTTTTTGCCTCCTACACAACTCCCAAGATCAGCCTTGCTGACATAACCCCAAATCATGAAGATCAGTGATTTCCTGTGTAGAATCATGCTCCACATTCTCTTTCTTTCCTTTCCTTGTCACCTGCTATAGCTTTCTGTGTTCTCTTTTCCTCCTTTGTAGCCTCCTGCTACAGTGAAAGCTGAAAGCAAGTGCACTCACAGGAGGGAAGGGAGGAGGAAGATAAAGAGAACCATTGTGCACAAATGGTCTGAACTGTTTAACATCTTCAGTGCTCCTACATCTGTACATTGTACAAGGCAAATCCTTTAACAATCTAGAAGCAGCCTGTGGCTTCTAGAGAAGCTACTTTACCTGAAATAGTTAACCACATGCTTTACCACAAACTGTCGGGGTGATTAAAACTAAAGGGTATTCAGGTTTAGAAATGTTTTGTGGGCACAGTCTCTCACTCTCCCATAAAGCTAAAAAGCACATTCCCCTTTGAGACTTCAATCGCCTCTTTGAGGCAGCTGGTAGATCAAAATCTCAGCAGGGATTCAAACCTCTTAAAATCATTCTCGAGGAAACCCACAACATTTAGTCTATGTACAGTAAAGGACTAATGCTGTTTTAATTGGCAAGTAAAGAAAGAATTTGGGGTCTGCCAGGCCAGGCCCACTTATGGGAGGGCAAAAGGGACAACGGTCCTGGAACCTGGTGGTAGCTGGAGCAACCAGAGCCCTGGCCCTTTAAATCACAGCTGGAGCACTGCATGGTGCATTCTGGGTAGCTCTGAGGGCTGCCAGGGGGAAGGGCAACATGGTCTGGTGGCACTGAGGGCTGATTGCCTGAGGCCCCACCCTTTCTGGGAGCTGAGGCCTCCCCATATTGCCCAGGGGCCTGGCTTGTCTGTGGCCCTCCTATGCCAGGCTGTTGTGATGCAAATAGTTATGCACAGAGATGATTCTCACACTCAGAAGTTGCTCATTCACAAACAGAAGCCACATTTTGAACAGAGGGCCCACAGACCTCCCATTATTTTGGAATTTGGGTACATCACAGTTTAGCCTCAAT